TTTTTTTTCCAAAATATGTTCTAAGTATTTGTCCGTGACTATAGAACCAAGCAAACCCGTCCTAGAAGTAGACAGGACGTGAACTAATCCGAGAAAAATCCCAAGAACATGACTATACCAATGTCATACCAATGTCCTAAGTTGGGGTGGTTTTCCTTATATTATCTTTCACCAATGACTGTCTATAATTAAGAAAGCATATGAAAATGAGAGCCATGCCCACAGTAAAAGCATGATAAGCAAAAAGATTGGCTGATATGACTTCATTGATGAACTGCAAGTACAAGTTGAAATTTCTTGGGGCTGCTCCCATGATGTTGTTCAGAGCCTCTATATCTCTATATCCCTCTGAAAGCCTCCTGGTCCGCCCCCCTGCAAAACAAGCTGGGCTTCTGGCATAGTACAGCTCGCACTTGGCAAACCTCAGGCAAATCGATCTGTTCAAGAAATGCGCCTCTCTCTCAAGAAGTGCGGGCTTCTGGCCAATTCACTGTGTGTTCAATATGTATTGAACTGCGGCCTCGAACTGTAATGTTGGGACTGCTCCTGGGACTAACCTCTAATTGGACCTTCCCACTTTTCCGCATGTTAGAGTTTCAACGAGATACTCCTGAGGTGCCGCATGCGGAGTGCCTTGGCACCCGCACGCCCAAGCAGAGTTTGACAGTGCCTGGTTGTCCGCGACCTCGGGGGTTCAGCTCCCGGGTGTTTCTCGGAACTTCCTGGGAAACAGTGCCCGTTCACAGCTGTTCAGTATGTAAGTAGTGGAATACCACACGCAAGGCAAACATGTGAAACGTGACGGCCACACCCTCTCAGGTTCCATCAGGGACAACTCTCCTCCGTCTAGATGCAGTGACAATGTCTATCCCGGGTCTTCGAGACGAATGAAGAAAGTTGCTTACCCCCAAAAGTGGCTCAATTGCTTAAGAAAGTCGGAGGCCCCTGGCATTCCAGAATGGAAAAGCGCCGGATTCCAAACCACCCCGCCTACCCCCTACCCTCGCCACTTGTGTGACCTCAATAGGCTACTTCCAACAGGCCCTATACTGCGGCCTTAGAGTCCCTCAAAAAGAGTATGTGCATATATATATAGGTATATAGCATCCAGTGAGGTGCTCGACAGCACCCGAAGAAAAGACCAGACCAGCTGGGCTCTTCTGGCACCGGCTTCGATCTTCCCCAGCAACTCGTTGGCAATGGCATCCATCAAGGGTGGATGGACGATGAGCACCTCGGCCCAAGTCCGGTGCGTTCCGCAGATGGGAAGTTCGGCTGGGAAGGGCCGCTGTGCTGCACGGGCTGCGAACTAGTTCGAAAACCATGGAAGGTCACCCCAAACCTACAAATGTCAGGCTGCCTGACTGCGGCAAAACAATTGAGATCGTTGAGTTTATATCATGGACGTTGGACAGCGGCATGACTTTACCTCTGCTTTCACCATGCGGAGCAATATCGAACTGCATGGTGGACATGATAGATACAATCGACCACAAATCTGCACTGCTGCAGAGTCACTTGTCCAATGATAATCAAGATAAGTGGTTTGCGCCGATATTCGGTGGGCTCCCCTGGTCAACGGGGAAATCCCCTATGGAGAGGATGGCTTGGGAAGGGGCCAGGACGTGGGGGTCTAACAAACTGATCGATGACTATGTGAATCTCTGTGACTATAGTATAGCAGCGTTCAATACCCTGTAGGCAAACCTTAGACCTACTACTTACCCTACCTGCAGTCAACCAAATTCAATTCTTCAAAGAAAACATGTTTGGTGTTTGGACACATGGGACCAAGTCGAGGCATCCGTCTCGCTGCACCAGCGGGTGCATATCCAAATGAAGCCACAGGACCACAGGACACATCAGGAACCCCACCTACTCCGTGGAGCGCAAAGGTTCCCCAATTTCCGGGAATCGTCCATTCGCCAGTTCTCAGGTCATCTTCCCAAACTTCCTAGGGCTCCTCCTGAAAGCCCTTGCAAAAGATTTGCCCAAAGGATTTGGATATGTAGGTTCCTTCTGAGCCATTTAGTTGGCCGCTGGTCTCTTGAATCTAGGACTGGTTTGTAAAACATCTGACTTGTCAAGCACTTTGCTGATAAAGTGGATCGGTCCTCCTTCCATGCCTGCCGTGTCAACTGTCGCCATTGGGATGCCCTAGCTGTGGCGAATGCAAGCGCTGTGTTGGACAGCTCCTGGACCGCATGGAAACTGGCTGAAGGTAAGTGATTCAACATGCTTTGGTCAAGCGTACCTGTTTGCTTCTTGGCAAGAATCTTCCAGGGGGTTGGAATTGCCAGCGATGGCGTTCTTCCGCTACAGGAAACACTGCGTGATGAACCCTTTTTTTCCGATCGAAGCCACAGCTGTACCGTAACTCCTCACAGTTGTATATGCATGTACCGTGTGTCTTGATCGAAATTCAATCACTTGAGCACAGTCCAAGTACTTACACTGATGGAGATTTGAGTTTGAAGTGAAGCTAGTTTGAGATTTCAACTCCCATGATGATTACATCCATGAAGTGTCGCGCGGCCTTGGCGCTGCGGCGATTCATTCAGCGGCTCGCGATGATTTCAGCGAACTTTGGGGGCAGCTCACTGGTTTTGGCTCGTTTCGAGCAGTTGGAAGTCAATTGCCCCATGTCGATCATAGCAACAAAGCTCCCGAATCGGCCGATGGCTTGCGGTTGGAGTTTTCTGGAAGGTTTTTTTGTCTGTTCGTGTGCGCTCATGTGGGCCGTTGCTCCACCTTGTTAGGCCTCATGGATCCTCATGCCTTGCCAAACCATCTGCAAGGCCCACCAAGCCCAAATTGACAACTATCATCTTGCATCTCTCAGGAATTATATGGAAGTATGACCCAGAAAGTTTGCCCCCCCCAAAAAAAGAACCGACCCATTGCCACATCGCCTTTGAAACCTTGTGACATGGTTTTGGGTTTGTGGGCCTGGGGCCTCTCAACGCTCCGACCTGTTCAACGCTCCCGACTCCCGACTGGTTCTGCGTGTCCTGAGCGTTGAAGGCCCCGATGCGTGGCACCTCGGCGGAAACCGCGCGCGGGGGGGCGCGAGAGAGACGCACCAATGACATCGAGGCGACCCCAAAACAACCACTAACCCCACGCGATGTTTGGCATGGAGTAGAGCAAACGCTTTTGAGGACACCAAATTGGTATTGGCCGAGTCTGTCCGCCATCTGAAGTTGAGATGGCAACAAAACACACCTTGGGGATCAATGGATTGTCATAGATTCTCTGGTGCTTGCGTTTCGGATTCCAAGATTTGACCTTTTCCATGTGGAATTCCTGTGAGAAAAAAATAAAATATCCTTCTGATTCCTTCTGATGGTAATGGCCTGGCCTTTGCTTTGCCTGGAATTCCAGCGGATGAAGCATAGTTGATCCCCCATGCAGCCACAGTTTTTGGACAAACTTGCCCACCAATGGTGCTGGGCATGGAAAGTTACAATCTATCTTAGATGAAAGTGCACCAAGCATCAGGACTAAGTGGTGTTAAATGCACACTCTCACACAGAAATGAGCTCCTCCAGGCCATGCGAGTGCATTTCTCTGGCCGTGCGGCTAAGCATTGGCTGCCGATGCCCTCCGTGTTCGAAGGCAAGGACCGAGCACCCTGACCCTAACTGCCGCGGGTGTCTTTAAATGACTTGACTGTGGCAGAACTCCCACTCCCCATCTGCAAGAAGCTTAGTCAAGAGAGTCAACATCAGTGAAGGTATAAAGGCAGCGTGGCCCAATTAAAAGCGTATAAACCTAGGACATCAAATTTGGATCGAGTTTCCGGAGTGGAAGATGCACAGCCAAATGCACATGACAGGGCTGCTTAGGCGCAGAGAACCCATGAACACTGGACCGCTCCGGACTGGGTGACTTGGCCGAAAGGGGCCGTTCCGGGATGAATGGATTGTACTGTACCCGAATTGTGCTCCATACGAGTGTCCAAGTCATGCGAGCTCAGTAAACAATTGCAGAATACACGTCGAGTCACCAACATGGACGTGGAAAACTGCTTCATCAGGAACTAGTTGAGCCATAATTACCATGCAAAACCCCGTTGGAAGAAGCATGTGCTAAGGGGTGCCATGTGGTGTTTGCACTTGTGTTTGCATATTTTCGCCTCGAAGTTCCAAACAGTTCAGAGATTCAGTGTGCCTGCACCCTGTCCCTGACCCACTACAAAGGCCGTCTCACTTTGTGGAGCTCTTCAGGCGGCAGCCAGTAGCCTGTCACCCAAACACCACGCAGGCGCCACGATACACTCCAGCAAACATAGAAGTGGAGCACACTGCGGTGGTGAACGGGAAAACAGCCTGGGAAGGAGGGCAATGACATCCACTTTCAGTGTCCTTCTTGTCCTACTCCAAAGGATGGAAAGGAAAATGCCAGCGTAAGCCCGGAACATTCAGTGTGGGGAAGAGGAACCCGTGGCAGGGGAAGGAGGGGGGACATGACACATGTGAAACAAAATTTTCTTACTGCAAGTGTATCTCCTGGGCAATGTTAGACTCCAGTATATCAAATAAATAGGGATTCTCCCAAGGAAACCGTGGTTTCGGTGCACATCTTCCAGCATTCTCACACACTGCTTGCTGTTCATGAACCCTCCTCAGCCTTCCATAAGCCACTTGGCATCTGACTCAACGATGAAATAGTTCCCGCACAAAGAGGGAGGGTCACGCGATTTGTGGGGCAGCCGCAGTCGGAGGTTCCAAACATTCACACCCCGCAGGTTCCGAACCCTGCCCTCTTACCATCACTTCCCCACCTGGCTTGCACTGGAGTTGCATGGCACCGGTCGCATCCATCGCGGTGATGGTGGTGTCCATCCACTGAGCGTAGCTGGTGGAAAAGTATTGGACCTGGCACGTCCTTCAATCGGCGGGAGGGGTCCGAAGAGTAAGCCTCGGAGTTGGTTTGGGAATTGCGCCGTGTGGGAGCATGGGTTTGGTTTGGGCGTGGCCTGTGACAGAACGATAGAGCCAACACACAAAGACCGTCTTCTGAAAGAAGGGCCCCTTCCCGATGGTACCCAGGCCTTTTTCTGAGCATATATACTAGAGCTATGCACACACACACACGTATATATGCTTGAATACCATTTGAAAGTAATATATATATATGTATATCAATAACTACTTGTTTATCTATTTCTACATTGCACAGCTTGGAGTATTATATATATATACATATACAATAATCATAATTACAGTATGTAGTTCCCTGATGTTCCTTCTTCTGCCTGGGTCTGTTCGCATGCTTGGCTGAAGGGGGCGCAAACCAACCATACGGTGGCAATCTATAAGACATGTTATTCCCGGCTGCTCCCGGTATATAATTTGTATGCTGCACAACCAGGTCACCAAATGCAGCCAGCAACACCCATCAAAACCAACGTGTTGGCAGCCTGTAAAAAAATCGCCCGCACCCAAGGTGCTGAGGCGCTGTGTACGTTTCGTGGCAATCAACCAACCGGAATATTCTGCACTCAGCTGCTAGATAACAAGTTTGAGCGTTAGCTTTGGGGGAGCGATTTTGCTCTAGAATGATGTGTTGTTTTTAAGTTTTTTGAAGATGGACAAGCAGTGAGCTAAGGATTCGCGATGTCGGTTATGCGCAACGAGGAGGACTGCATTTATTGACATAGTGTGTGTGCGTGTGTTCGTCCGGGATGTCTTTTCGACAGATCTGCCCGATAGAGCTTGCGTCGTCGATAGCTATTGTGGGGAAAGTAGGTGTATGCAGTTCCCGACCCACTACACTAGAGCCCTCCTAAACTAGCCAGTCGTGGCCCAAGTTTGACCCAACTAACCACCCCTCGGTGTTTCCTCACTCTGCACTTCATACGCTTGAGCCTGGTTAACATTTCCTCCCAGCTCCGAGAGCACAAGTTGCTGCTTCCCGGCTCCGGGAGCGCAAGTTGCTGCCAACTCGTATCCGACTGGGGTGCTGCTGACAGATTGCATTTAATCTGCGCGGGCGGTTTCTACCGCGAAGCGGTGTGAAGAAAACACACATCCGTATATACATACTACATCCTGCTCGTCCTACACCCCACGCGCAAGATTCGCCCATCACCTGTGTCTCGATCCGTCTGTCGAATCGCACTGGCAGGCACGGCGGTCGTCGGCACCTTGTCGCCCTCCCGGAGCTGAGCGGTCTTCTCCTTCACCGGTTCCTGCAAATGATGGGTTCGGTGCAGATCCGAGCTCAAACAGATGGAAACGGTCTGGTGGTGAGCTGGGGGTCCAACGACTTTCTGAGGATGTAGTCGGAGGATGATGTTGGAGGCCTCTTTTAAGGTTGTTCATGTGTTATTAAGTTTCTTGGGATGCCGCACACATGTTGCAATCACAGAGATGATCAAAGTTGGATAAAATGCGATTACATGCTATTACAGTGGTTTTAGAGTAGATGGCACAAACCCCTACATGTCCTTTAGATGGGGGTTCATACAAACCACCTCTTGGGGATTGTGCCATCTACTCTGAACCCACTGTAAATGATTTCAGCGTCTTGGCTGCGACCGCCATCTTTTTCGTTCCCAGTGCGCACTCGCTTGGCGGAGCTCGGCTCGCTGGGCCCATCTGAGGCCCGGCAGGCGCACTAAGAACATGCGACGTGATGCGACTTCCGTTGCTGGGCTGGGACATGAATTGCCCAGGTCGCTGACAGAAGCGATGCCAAGTAGATCAAATGCTGCCACTGCTGCTTGCGTGATAAGAAGCCAAATCTTTGGGCCAGTCAAAGTCAAGTTAGTTGCAAATGTCAGGTTGGTCATGGGCGCTGGGCACCCTGAAACTATATATTAAACTCCTGTTTGGAAGCGTCGGACCTCGCAACACCTTGAAGGATTGACAGAATCAATTCGTCGTTTGTGCAGGTCACACAGCCAAGCCCTACTTCAAGTCTACATTTGTGTGCTAGCTTGAGATCTGCCTCCGTATGCAGGGCCGGAAACGAATGCCTCGTGCGTGGCAAGTCCTAACTGCACCACGAGCTCTCGTCTGGGTTGCGACACTTCTGATCTGTTGACGGAAGACGTCCTGCATTAACCATGAGATTGAAAGCCCTCTACCAGTACTACATCCTACAGTAGCAATGTGTTTCATTGTTTTTCTAAATGTCCTTCCTATAGGCTGCGCAGGAACTGTCGATGAATTCCAGCCTCCACGAGGGGATTATTTGGCCATATTCGCAGCACTCGTGGTGGCCCAGTCTTCCTAAACCCTCACGCCAAGCCACACCTACCATTGATCATCCCTCATGTGGGCAAAACGGATGCAACGGTCCTTCATGGTGGGAAGCAACTGGCGAGCTGAGCTCGCCTAATTACTGAGCCAACTTGATTGAAAAAAGTGCCAATGTCCACTGATGACCACTATAAAATATACTACATTACCCTTAGGCAAATGCCATGAACTGTTGTTTTTGATCAGGAACTCATCAGTGGCAAGCCAAGCTGCTCAGCTGCTCGTTGCTCCCTCCGTTCATCCGATCTATGAGGGCTGGCTGGCCCGGGCCGGTGTGCAAGGATGGCCGGGGCTCTCATGTTCACTTGTTCAAGCTCATGAAGTGCAGCCACAACGTCAGGGTGGCCATCACCATACATGGAGCGCCTCATGCACCATTGCATTAGCAGGATTCTTTGTGGCTTTGTACCGCTTCTGGAAGGTGTCCCAGTGCCGCTCGCAGACTAGCAAGCTCCTGTAGCGTTTCTGCTGTGCCGGGGCTAGGGCCATCCAGATATATGGAGCGCTTCATTTCCAAGGCTTTCTCCAAATAGCACAGTGCCTTGTGAAGATCCTCTGCATGTCGTGCTGCATGGTGTGTGGCTTTTCCCAGCTCACGCAAAGTGGCCGCAATGTAACGCGGCTCAGCCTGCAAGGAGCGCCTCACTCGCAAGCACTCCTCCAACAGTGGTATTGCCTTGCTTGGATCTCCTGCCTCTGCAGTCACACGACCAAGCTCGTACAGAGTGTGTGCAACGTCCTCAAAGTCGTTTTGAGGGCACGACTCCAAAGATTTCTCAAAATACTCCATTGCCTTCTTGAAATCTGAATTCAGTGCAGTCACTGTTCCCAGCGCGCGTAGAGTGGCCGCAAATTGCCGACTGTCACCACTGCACGGAGGCTGCAGGAGCTCCAACGACTCCTGCAAATGCTGCATTGCTGGCTGGGGACCCTTTATCTGAGCTGTGAGGCTCCCAAGCTCTCGCAGGGCAGCGGCCAAGCGGGGTCGGTCAGACCGTGACCGATACATCTCAGACGCCTCTTTCAGATACTCCAAGGCTTTTGGGTCTTTCTGTTGACCGGTCACTTCACCCAGTGAGAATAGCACCTCCGCAATGTTTTCAGCCCTTTGCATTGCTATCATTGTTTTGCAGCTCAAGCAGCTGCTGCTCAAGGCATTGTCGTTGTGCAAGCTGGCCACCGCTTAGCATGTTCTCAGGAAGGGTCCAAGCCTCTGCCATAGCATCGAGGGCAACACTTGAGGCAATGTCCTCAGCAGTGTTTTGAGCGGTGCCCGCAGTGGTTCGCGCTGTAATGGCAAATGAGGCTGTCTCAGATCCTGGCCAAAACGATGTCCAGGTCAACGGGGGGAAAAAATACTAAAAAAACACACCCCAAAGTAGGACCCTCAGTATAAAACTGTCCTAGATGGATGTCCTCGAATTATGGACTTGCAGTATCTTACAGCACATCTGCCAGCAAAGGGTTGGTACAGTATGGTATGGTAGACAAATGCGCAGCTTATGGCTTGCCAAGCTGCCAACCACGGGCCGCGTTGGCAACGTCTCTTCCAGCAACTGCTCGGAATTGCGCGTTGCAGTGATGATGTTCCGCAAGCCTTCCTGAAGTTCCTCATGACTGTTGGGGCCACAAACTAGCCCTTCCACGATTTGATAGATGAGCTCTAAAATCTCAAAGGGATTGCCACCCATCACTACCGAGTTTGCTCTATGATCCGCGATGGCACGCTTCCATGGAGACATCTCCATGATCCTGGAAGCCTCTTGAGTGCTTCGCCTGCAATCCCACATGAAATCCCACAGATCTTCATCTTCAACTCCTTGCAGTTCTAGAAGTCTGCTTGCTTCGGTGTGAATCACGGCTAGCCGGTCTTGAACTTCCAGCTGTTGCCTTCTTTCACAGGGCCCCTGCAGTTGCCTGGGCACTCGGCCAAACAGTTGGCCCTTCTCACAGTGGGTTTGGGAGATGATGGTTTTCCTCATTGTGGTTGTTTGGGGAGGTGCGTACTGGACATGATGGCCGTGAAGCTTGGAATGTACTCAACATACCTTCTTGGGGGTGGTGCAAGGTATTTAAGAAAGAAACAGTCAAGCTAGCCAAAGCCCCACGAAGCTCAATCATGAGTTTACCGTTTAGCTACTAGCTAATTCATGCTAGAGACTTCAGTGCTGTACTTTAGCTGGTTGCTCGTACTCCATATCTGATTTGTCATAACTATCATAAGCACATGTTGAAACAGGATGCGGTTTGCCATGTGGGAAATCTGAACCAAAATCACACCAAGGTTGCTTGCACACCTTCCTGAGCTGATTCAGCGGTGAGAGAAATCCCTTGTCGATGATGCGTTCTAGCGCCTTGTAGTTGCAAATCTCCATGATTGCCGCCGGTCGGTGAAGATTGAGTGTGCAGAGTTCTCAGTCATGTGCCGGACGTGATAACATATGACCAATCAAGCATAGTGAATACTTTACGTAAACACTTATGTGAGCAAACAAATATGCATATTACTATATATGCATAAAACATATAATACTATATTCAAATTACAAATAATTACATGTATATGTGTGTGTTTTGAACGATTTTATTGAGCCTTCATTGTGTCCGGACTGGATTCAGTGGATGACACGTGTGAAAGTGGCGTCTGAAACGCGAGAATGTCCTTCGCTCGGTACTGCAGTTTCTTCTGCTGAGTTTAGAACTTCCCCGGATTCACCCAGATTCACCCGGTGCCATGGTGGAGAAATGAAGCGGTGCGGACACTGCGAAGCTTCTTGACGGCAGGCATAACGTGTCAGTACTCATGCCAGTGTCAGAGGGCTCGGCAAAATCTGCAGGATCCAAAAAGTGTCGAACTGTCGAACCATGTCGAGCCTCAAGACAAGCCATAGTTAAGTTAATTTAAGTTATATGATGTTATATGAAGCATAGGCTACTTAGGTGGTAAAGTCAGTTTTACTCCTCTGCTCAGCCTTGCTTGTTTCTTCGTGCAGGCCCTGCCCGTGCCACCGCAGCCAGTCTGCTCCACCCTCTGTCCGCGGTCTCGAGCGCCCGCTTGAAATCCTGGAAGCTCACCTTAAGGCGGAGCCAGGCGGAGCCATGGAGGTGGCCTTCCCCAAAACTGAAACAAACTGCCTCCAACCTACTAGCGATGGCCTCCAACCGGACGCACCAACGATGACAAAAGGTGATCGAATTCAATCAACATGCCACGTCTCAGGTTTCTAGCTTCCTCTCTTGCCTGTGCTTCGCCATCCCTCCCTCCTCTTGCAACATCTTCTCTGAAAGGCCGATGACTTTTCGTTTCACCTGCCCTACTGTTTGTCCTGTTTAGTGTTAACATGTGTTAACTGATATCAACTCCCTCGCTGATGCCTGCAACACCAGCAGCCCTTATGACACCATATGACCCACCGACGGTGTTCCCATGGGGCCCCGAACATGCCCAGTGCTCTTGAGGTTCATTCGGTCCATCACTTCCGACAAGGTGCCTTCGGACCGGCGCGCCGCTGGATCACGTCCGCGGTTTTTCGACTTCTGCATGGGGTGGCGGGTGGTCGTTTTCCTCCAAGCCGTCAAGGAAATCGAGATGAAACGAGGTTGGCTAAAATAGGGCGTTTACATGGGTTTACTAAGGATCACTGCATTTGATCGTTGCCTTTTTAAGCAAACCATGTGGGACGTGCGACATCGGCCAATTTTTGTCGCCTTGTTTGGGTCACAGGGTGCTCCTCGTCGAGAGGTCGAAAAGAAGCTAGCCAAGCGAAATGCCAAGCCACCAGCACGATGGGTGATGAACTCAAAAGATGGTGCCAGGATCAAATCAAACCAGGTCTTCCAAACACTCAGACTCTCACAAAACTCCTCCCCTGTATTGACAAAAATCATGGGTGCCCTGTCACTGACTTGCTAGGGACTCCTCAGGTGTGGACGAAAAACCAAGGACTTGACACTATCCAGTACAATTCAAAAGTGCCAAAAGGATCCAAGGACGAGGCCGGTCGCCGTGCATGTTCCAAACCGTGCATGTTCCAACTCTCTGGCCACATCGACCTTGGCCGTTTCTTTCACGGCCCGGCCACATCTGGGGGCCCGATACACCGGATTCCACGGTTTTTAAGGGACTGGGCCGTCCCCGACCTTTCTCTCTTCCATCCTTGGGTGTTGGGGCCACTCCCCGTGGACCCCGTGGGGTCGGCCTGGGTCTGTTCCACAAGATGCTCATGCCAAGAAGCGGTCGGCCATGATTTCCCGGACCTTTGGCTTTTGCAGCATGGCCTCAGCCGTCGAGGCCCAGGCCGATCAAAGATAAAGGTCCAAAAGCAGCCCGGATTGGAGTGGATCGTTCCAAGGAACGAACATACGAACTGATGTGATGACACGTGTTGCTCTTTGCCCCATGTTTGACTCATCTGAGCAAGCCCTGCGCGAAGGGTAACGCGCGGATGGTAAGCGCCAAGCCCGGATCTCATTGGCATCCAAGGAGTTGTTGTTATCGGAATCCAACTCCTTGAACATCCGCCACCTAAGAGAAGCCAATGTAGATGTCGAGATCCGTCAGATTTCAACGAGGACCACATTTTGGATTCATTAGGAAGAACATGGAAGAACGATAAACATAGCACTTCAAAAAGAAGGGCCTGAACATATTCAATCCTTTGCCAAAACCCTCATGGTAGATTCTGCCCAAAACCGTCAAGCGGTGTTGAATCTATCCATGGGCTGGAGCTTGGAATGACTGGACTTCTGGCTGAAGTGCCAAAAAAGGGGAGGTTCTTTGGAGGCCAACACCTTTGATTTCCAACGTTCGACTGGATGACTTGTCTAGAGAAGCAACTTGGCTCAAGAGGAGACACGGCTAAAAGACAATATGACAATCGCGGGTTTGGAACACTCGACCTGCTACGCCCTGCTACGCCCCAAACCCCAAGCTGCAGGATGATGAGACCAGCCAAGGTGCAGCACTTCGTCATTGTCCGCCTGCCATAATAGGACCAATAAGGTCAGAACGGTCAACATAGGTCGCACAGTGCTGATTTGAGGGGCATTCCCAGATCTCCTGGGCCCCTGGCCCCGAAAACGGGGCCAAAGGGACACTGAACTTGGAGATGTGGAGGATGTTAGCTTAAACTCATTGCCACCATTTTGAAGACTGGAAGAAAAACCTTGGGGTTGGCGCATGTTGGCGCCCTATCTATCGAAGGGGAGAATGGGGAAGGCAGGAAGGAGTCTTGACATGGCTTTAGTACCAAATGGGCCAGCGTGAGAATCCAGAAAGCTTGTGAGACGAACATAAGACACCAAACTGAGCACCGGATCGGAGATCAACAACACACATACACACAATCACACACACACACACACCACCGACTCAAGTTCTATTCATTCCACATCACCTACTTCCTGCTAGTTAGATTTGAGGAGGGAGATGTAAAAGAGAAAAGCATGCCACGTGTAAGAATGGAATCACCCAATATCACCTAATCACGTGAAGCAGCTTTGGTGGCCCGCAAGCGCCGTGCAGATTTGGCTGCGGTGGCCCGCACCTTTTTGGCTGCGATCATCTCAGCCATGAATTGACTGTAAGTCACTTGGCGGTTTGAACCTGGGAGATCCCAAACTGACTGGGACGATGAACTGCAGCTTCTGCACATGTAAAAATTAATCCATTCCTCCCGAAACGAGGGAAACATCTGAAGCCAAATTGGGTGGCCTGGAGACACGCATGCCTCAAACATCAACAACCGGAGGAGAGCATTAAACAAATCCTTTCTCCACCAAAAATCAAACCAACATAACCAACGACCACTGTGGAAAAGGAACCATCACCACAAGAAGAAGCACTCTCCAGCTCTTGTTTGGAGCGGTTTTGGCAAATCTCAGGTTGCAACCCATCAAGGTGTTCACGAATTCATCGAGCTCTGCCTGATTCCCGAGGGAGGCGCTGGGAAAGGCCGGCCTTTGTGCGGCCATGGGGGAGGAGAATGGTCAGAATATGTCAGAATGGTCACGTCGAGAATCGGCTGTGTGTTTTTTCAAGTAATTAGTGAATCTGCAAAGTTGACAAATTCATGCCACATTCCCGACATCCTGAACCACTGAGATCGAGATGCAGTGTCCGACATGGGACATGTGGCCCGCTTAATACTGACCTCTGGACAACGGGGGGGTTCCTTTGGCATGATTGTCCTAAACACTTCCTCGAGCTGTTGTGAGGACCCGTATGTCATATGCCCTCCAGGAAGTGTTGTGCAGTGTGTATTTGAGAAGGCCTGTCCAGAATCTCCAGAATCCTAAACTATGCCCATTGATCACCCACTTGTGAGCGCACCATAGCGTACCAACTACTTGCATTCCGATGCCCTTGTTGCACTCGCTCTTCTGCGCCCGCTCTTGGCAGCCGCGCTGGCGGCATCTTGGTTTTCAACGCCTGCGGTCATGTCCAGGTTTGGGACTTCCCTCGCACAAAAAGCAAAATCGCCACAAACGGTGAAAAAAGGGAAACCGTCCGCCTGCAATTATGTGTGTCTATATACAGTATATATATACACTCACCAAATCTGCCCCCCCCAAACTGACCAAACGTGCGAGCGAATACCCCCCCAACAACCAAAAAAAGAGAGAGAGAGAGAGAGCATCTCTCCCTTGCCAATGTGGCCTGTCTGGCTTCAGCTTCAGTGACCACACCACTGTGGTCTGCGTCCATGGAGGTCTCGGAAGAGGGGGACACATAGCCGGATAAGTTGGGGGACACATGAAGGGGAGGATAGGTGTTGGGGACCCCCAAACAAATAGGTTTTGGATAGTGTTGAGACCTCACCCCTGGCTGGTTGAAGAGGTTGGGCCTTTGCCCGAAGGCTCAACAAGGGGTCCTTGTTCTTGGCTCGTCGCTGGTTGGCGAGGATGTATATGGTCCTCGTTCTAAGTGGAGGTTGCTTTGCAAATGCACGAACACGTTGATTGGCAAATTGGTGATTTTGACGAGAAAACCAACGGAGCATGCTGCTTCCTGCATCCTCACATGCCGCGCAAACAAACAGAAACCTGGTCGGCTGGCATGTAGTTCAAGCGTCGCGTTTTTGTAGCAGGCACCCGAAATATGGAGGGTCGATTCGGTAAATGCACCAGCAGGTCACCAGTGGTTTCAAGAAGCCAGAGACCTAGAGGCTCCCTGGCTTCTCATGGTGCATAGCCTTCCAACTCTTTAACATCCCCATTTTCTAAACCCTGGTGGATTGACCTTCTTAGTCGTCAGCCTGTTCTCTTCATTTTTGGTAGTCAACCAGGGTCCTCCGGTCCGGTTTTGATCCACGGCCACATCAACCTTTGGGGAATGACACTCCGCCAGGCCACAAAAAGATCGTTGAGCTCCTGCCAGCGTGGACGCGCGTTCAATACATTCCAATTCAACGAGCACCCACAATCCTACATCTACCAGAATCTTCCACAGAACTTCCCGTTGAGGGGTGTTTGAATGATTACCTTTTGAGAACGTCTCAGAGGCAAGCCGCCCCTACTGTCGGCATACCACGTTGGCACATCGGCATCGGCTTCGAACATGCGTTTCTCGTGTTTGGGTTTCATTCGGCATCCCTTTCTAGATCTGTTTGAGCTCTTGGCGTATACTGATTCTCCAAGTCAGTATAACTTAATAAGTTATGTTAACATACCGTACCAGCACCTTCAAAGGGGCCACCTGGCTGGAAGCCCCTACACCACTAAAGGACCTCCATTGGACACTACCTGCCCGTGGGAAGGCAATGTTCTGACAGGTAGCTATCCACTTCCATGTGACAATGTATTGTATGTGAGTCGCAGGGTGCAAGTCTCATGTTTTGCCGTCGTCGGTCCGAGTACTTAAAGCAAGTGAGGTGCTTGCACCTACACCATCCTACACCTGCTCTGTTTTGGTGGCTTGTTTTTCGTCCTTCAAATGGGTCAGGTTTTCGCGGTTCACCATGTCCATCATCAGGGCTCGATGTAGGTCACTCCTGGTCACGCCCAAGCGAAGGGGCGGGTGGGCTTTCTGAAAGTCCCGGAACATGCAATGCAAAGTCGCGAAAACAAAAAAATACGTCTCGTCTAAAGGATCCCTCACTTGGAAGGCACTACCCAGAGATGCTATTTCATAATGGCATTTGAATAAGAATGCCTATCGATGTTGATGGATCTTGAGATCCATCTCTTTCCCAATCCGTGCTGCTGCTGCCCAGGCTCGTTGGCTTGATCTTGCTCAGCTCCGACATGCCCTGACCCGTCTCAGGGTGCTGAAGAGAGATCTTACGAGGTATGAACTGAATACATATGATTTTGGGGTCCCCAACGCCTCTCCAAAGGGTTGTTGGAGGCCTTGGCCTCCCAGAAGCCAGCTGTTTGGCGCCCATTCCGTGGTGGCATATAGGCCACAGGGTTAGGTGGAACAGATCTGTTCAGCCAACGACCACCGTGGTGTCATGGGTTTATGTAAGCTCTGGAGGAAGTACCCACATTTTGTGGCTCTGCAGTCATTCAGCCAGCTCCTCGCGGTCCAAAAAGGAGAGGTCGAAATGTGTGGAACTCCTCTTTAAACTCAGGTGGCCAAAAGGACATCTTCTGTTCAAAGGCAAGTTCCTGAAACCCAGCTCATGCAGGGTTTGATGACTTGGTTTGTATTTTCTTGGCTCCTGGCAAGCCAGCTCATCCGGTCACCTCTAGTCACGTACCATGTGTTTGTCTTTCTCTGCCCGACGGTGCCCAGCCGCCAGCCTTAGGGCTAGTGACCTCCTGGGCAAGGGCAGGACAACCCTCCCATGGGTAGTCGTAGTTCGTTGGGCTTTGCTGTTGCAAAATGAAGAAGAAGATTTTCCAGACTAGTAGATGATACTGTAGATGATGTGAGTTGCTGGATAGGGGAGCGCCGAAGGAAACCCTGACTTAGCTGGCTTGAGCCCCAACAATTACTGTGGCGTAGCCTAACCGCTGTAGATCACGGTTTCAGACTTGAAAACCATCCAGCCACTTGCGGGGGCAGCACCAACTGGTCACCGGACAGTTCAACGAAGCCGTCGGCCTGTCGAGAGGCGGGTCTGACTCGTCCCCGGTCCTTTCCGGCAGACCTCCACCACTCGTGCATCATGACCTGTCACAAAAGGGCCAGGGCATCAAAAAGAACAATAAATTAATCATGATTGACATCATGAATAGCTTATTCTTACCATGAAATGTTTCGAATCACTTATTGTTATTGATACGTATCCCCGACAAGAGCTGGTGATGAATGGGTCACGGTCCGTGGGCGAACCAGCTGACGTCCTCCAGACGTCCGCTCCGGTGGGGAAGGTGGGTCGTTCCACCGGAGGCTGTGCGGTGATGTGGTGAAAACGGTCACGGACTGACGAGCTCCCGAGTTCGAGGATCGACCGATTTCGAGGAAGCAGTCGAACAGAACTCGAATAGGATTATTCAATCCTTATTCAGGCTTCACATGCCCATGCAACGAATTCTGTAGCACAAGACGTAGTTACGGCATATAATGTATTATATTTATACGCAGCGTATATATATATATATATGTACACGTTTAAGTCACCCAACACCGTTTACTGATCATTTTAAAAGAACAGTCGGTTACCAGGCCAAAAGCTACCTCCTGCAAAGGTGGCAAAGGTACTATAGTTTAAGGTGAGGTGTGAACCGATCAAAGGATCATTCCGTCGCTGTCTCAGCATGGACCATCTGAGACAGACTCACATCAATAAGGGCTGATGGGAGTGATCACATGCAATAACTGCAGGAATCTTCAGAACATTTCAGAACTTGAGTTCCTAAGCAAGCAAGGCTCATCAGTGCAGTGATGAAAGTTGACTGACTTCAGAACAACAGAACAAATTGCCAAATGGAAGTGCAACCAAATCCCCTTGACCGTCATCACGTTTGTCCGAACGTTCGTCGCATAAATAAACACCCGCCTGCTCAATCTTAGGTCGGACCTCCGTGGATGGGGTCTTTCTGTGGACGGCAATGGTTGGCAGGAATAACAATCCCTAGCACTCCAAGTACCTCCTCAGAAGGTATTTGGACCCTCCAATCCCACCCCAAACACCCGCAGAAGGCGACTGGAGCCCTAGGGTTTGGTGATGCCGGTGATGATGTGGTTCTACAGTGCCTTGCCTATAGTTCCACGGGGGGGCTCCAGGGTCGGGCCAAAACATGCTCCTGGGAAGAGGAGCGGGATTTTTGGGCTCTTCAAGTTGGAACCACACTAACCACACAGTTACATACCTAACAAAGTTCATGCGGACTCGAGATTGCCTGTGGCAAGAAGGCATCCCAAACATTTTGGCCTCCAGCACCCTTCCATTATCGAGATCTGCTGCCTAGGGTCTTTGAAGGATGGCTGCATCATTTGCTGCACCATCTGTTGGAAGGAGATGCAGTTGGACAAGGGCTGCCAATCCACCGCACACCTTGTTCGTCGGCGAAAGCACTCAAATACACACCCCAACCACACAATGGTTGCGGGCTGGAGATGAACTAGTTCCTGGAAAAAAGAAGCTGCTTGGAGAAGGTAACTGGACAAAGTGATCTTCTATAACTTAGAGTCCTCAAATAATAAGTTCAAGAGGACCTCAAATAATGAGTTACAACTTGACCATAAAAAACCTGGAAGTCAACTCTTGTAGTTCTTTTTGATTTGACTCTCACGATCATGACTTGTCGCACTATCGCATCGCAAGACTGCCCTTAGCCTACCCCTTGAACCCAGAAGGCAGCGCCAACATTTACAGCACTTGTGTCCTAGTCGCCCCGGTCGCATGTTCTGATGGGACCATTGGACTGAAGACCAAGCGGTTGAAGCAAATCATGGCGTTTCTTCCGGCTGATCGCCAGTTAGAAGCACCAAAGATCCGAGATCCATGAGACCGTCCAATCCGATGCTTGGTTTGGGCACGATTCAGGTCAGGTCAGTCACCAGGAGCAAACCAAACGGGTCAGCTGAGGCGATCAGAGCAACACGACCCTTTTGCAGTCGGGCGGGCGTTTTGGGGTCCATGCGAGGAGTGGACACTTGATGACTGCGACACACCAATCTCGTCTGCCCCGGTGGATCGTCTGGGATCGTCCTGAGTCGCCCACTGACAAGCTTGTGCCTTGGAATGCAGGTGTTCCCTCCGTGTGGGGGCACTGGTTTTAGTCTTCTAGCCATAGCTTCGATCTGGTGCCATCATGTTGAAAGATCTGCGGAAGGAACAAGCTATGCCATTATGCTCTCATGCTTTCAACTAGGGCTCCGGCTTTTAGCTGCGGAATGGTGGTCCCTTCAAAGGCTTTTCTCCTCACACCAAGCCAGCCAATCCAGTGCAAGATGTTCCATGTCAGTCAGCTCACGGTCAGCTCTGTAGCCATGACAGTCGTTTTTCATACCGTTGCAAAACCACTGGGAGATTGCCGGAACCGCGGTCATGGGGGTGGAAAACGGCGTTTTCCAAAGGAGGGAGAGGGAAGAAGAGCGAAGGCCGCAAAAAGGCTTGCTGGTACATGCTCACCCAGTTCATCAACAAAAGCTCTTAGCGGACAGCCCTGCACCAGCTACAATGATTCAGAGATCGGCCTCCTTCCAAAGACTGGTGACATTATTAATTACTGCAAATTCAGTGACATTTTGGCTTTGCATTTCGCGGCAAACTGTGAAATGGGCTTGTGGGCTACCACCTTTCTTTATGGAAGCAAGCATCCGCACACCACAGCAACGTGCCACCGAGCAGACCACCGAAACCATCTGAGAACCCAAAAGATACCTCAGCTGCGTACACGACCCGACCCAAACTGCGATGCTGGGCGCTGGTGGAGGCAGTACATGTTGTAGAACCTCGGCCACGGGCCCGAGCCCGTCCCCACCTGACACGGCTGTTCATCATACTATGGTTAGAGAGCCTGGTTAGATATACTTGGATTTGCTGTCCAGGAACCTGTAAAGAATAGAACATATTCCCCAGGTTTGGGGATTTAACCATTTAACATCATATTGTAACCATAGGGAAGTCTAAATTAAAAAAACTAGACGACGAGTGGCCCGAAAGCATTTTTCATCACGTAGGAAATCAGAGTGCGAGTTATCCGGTAAGTGTGTAGTGAGAAGTGTTAAGTCGAGTGAGTTGAGGTAGTGTGTGGGTTTCTGTGCGTGTGTCCATGTCCGTGTGGGAAGGAGTCTGCGTATGTGTGCGTTCGTGGAAGTTGAGGGAGTGTGTGGGTGTTTGTGTGCGATGCGGCCTCCCAAACCCCCCACCGGCGGCCAAGCGGTGACAGCCCAGCTC